CTCACTACTAGATCCGACTCACAGTGATTCTCCTGTTTACAACCTCCCAAGTGCTGGGATTACAGGTGCATGCCACCATATCCAGTCTCAATCGCCAGCTCAGTGCAGCTAGCTCAGTGCACCCCGGGTATGGGCCGGGGCAGGATGGGACGGGGTGGGGCAGGGTGGGCATGGCAGGCCTAGGGATTGAACCCTGGCCCCTGCACCTGCTTGCAGGCACTTTAATCAGCTCAGCTATGTGGCCAGCCCAATTTTTTTTTTTTTTTTTTTTTTTTTTTTTTTTTTGATGGAACCAGGGATTGAACTCAGGCCCCTGTGCTTGCCAGGCAAGAGCTTATTCCACTGAGCCATCTCCCCGGCCCCACAAATCAGTGTATCTTAATGAAACCTAGTTCCACATAGATGATAGAAGTATTTCAGTATTCTCCATGTGAAGCAGCTTGTATTGAATGTCTCCAGGTCAGTTCTTCAAAATTCAGTTTGGGCCAGATTGTTTTCCTGCTACCTATTTCTGTAAATGGCTTATATTTATTTAGATATATATTGTTTTCATCTACTTTTGTGTTACCGTAGCAGAGTAGTTGCAAAAGAGATCATGGCCTCCAAAGCCTAAATTATGTACTAATGGTCCCTTTACCAAAAAGGGTTTATAGCAAGGCTTGAGGTAGACACCATATTGGGTATGGGAGTTGGAAAGGAAGCGTTGTCCTTGATCCTCCATGACTCTGATTGTGCTGAGCAATGTCAGTCAAATGCAAAAGCAAAGGAACAGTACAAGACCTCAGAAATGCCTATTGTGTCATTTACTGTTAAGTTCTCAGATGTTTTAGAAGGGAGAGGTTAGCTGGAGGTACAGGACTTGGCAAGGAGGTGAGTATCCCTGCATGGAGGAGGCTTGAGCTTGAAGGATTTGTGAGCAGGAAGAGCGTGTGTATTGGGGAAGGTGGTGTGCATGGTGCCTGAGTGTGGCCCAGGATCACTAGTGCTCTGGACAGCTGTTAGCTGCTGCTTAGGCATGAAGAGACTGGGGTTGGGGGATGGCATAATTAAGAAATCAGTGTGGAGACTGGTGAGAGTAGGGGTAGCAGGCTGAAAGGAATAGATCTAATGAAGGTTAGTTAGAAAGAGTCAGAAGTTAGGTAAAGAAATCTATATTCCAGGGACTGGGGAGATATCTCAGTAGACTAAGCATGCAAGGGCCTGAGTTCAATCCCTGGTTCCAAAAAAAAGAACAAAACAAATTTTTTTCTGCAGCTGAACCAGGGATTGAACTCAGGCCTTTGTGCTTGCCAGTGAAGCGCTTATTCCACTGAGCCATCTCCCTGGCCCCAACAAAACAAATTTTAATAGTGTTTATGAACAGGATATCATGTTTGCCTCTTTTACTATGAATAAATGCTAAGAAGACAACAATATGCAATGTATTAATTATTGAAACTGTCCTACTAATCGGTTTTGAAACTGTCTCATTGTTATTTGTTTCTCAATAAAATTATTTTTTTAAAAAATCTATATTCTGTTATGATAGCAAGATCTTTTTCTTTTTTAACAGTTTTTTGTTTTGTTTTTAAATGTATTTGGTATAGGGTCTTACCATGCAGCTCAGACTCATAATGATCCACCTGTTTTCAGCCTCCCCAGTACTAGGATTACTGGCCTGCGTTACCACACCTCGGTCTTGGTGGCTCAGCGCACCTGGGGTTGGGACTGATGCAGCATGTGATGCCAGGGATCAAATCCCAGTCCCTGTACTTGCCTAAGCATCACTTAGTCTGCTGAGTTATCTTATTACCCCTTGCAAGATCGATCAATCTTTCTTTCTTTCTACTTATTTATTGTTTTTGGATTTTTGAGGTAAGGTTTTATGGTGTAGTTCAGGCTCACAATACTCCTCTTGCCTCAGTCTCCCAAGTGCTGGGATTACAGGTACCATACCCAGCCCAAGACCATTTATTTATTTATTTATTTATTTATTTATAACATTCATTCATTTATTTATTTTATTTTTTGATTTTTTTTTTTTTGGCAGAACCAGGGATTGAACTCAGGCCCTTGAGCTTGCCAGGGAAGCG